ATGATTTTTAACTTTTGCCATCGTCGCGAAAAAACGCTTGTAGGCACACACATGCTCGGGGAGATGTTATGGTGTCTGCCATGGATAATATGATCCGAAACTCTTTGAATCGAGAGAGCGCTGTAAAAGTCCACATTTTTTATAACATTTGGCAGTGGTGCCACTGTGGAAAGAAATAAGTTAGGGAATTTTTATTACATATTTTGGGAATTTGTAATTTCGACACCACCGCTGAGGTATACAAAAGGCGAGTTACCGAAGTTAGTTTTGGGTGCTCGGTTCCCCCGTAGGCCTAAATCACCCATATAGGTACAAAATAAAATCACAATAATTTCCAAAATTCACAAATAATATAAAAATATACAAAATTCATCATATAAGAAAAAACTTAAAATTTTATAAACAAAATATCAAATATAGTTTTCAGTAATAATTAATTATTTAAAACTATAAGGACCGAAAAGAAAATAAGAGCTTTGAAAATAACTCAACTTTATATATTTACATATATGGGAAAAAAATTCAAAAAATAAAGTTTACACACATATGCTTCCGTAGGGATTTGAAGATATTTTACCACCTACTCAATTTTATTTTATATTACTTATACAAATATTTTTAATTAACAATATCACATTAACTATTGCTGCTTCAGCATTAAACTTTCTTACTAAAAATAATGAACTGATTTTGTCAGTTAATTTTAACGGGATTTTATCTGGCAGTTCATTGTTTTGGTTGTCATCTGTTCAGTAGCTCGTGGTTTTTCTTGGCAGCACTGAAAGTTCATGAGCTCAATCAACTTTGTTTGTTGAAAGTGCGCTTGCGTTCATGAATTAAAATGTTGTTGTGTGTGTTGACTTGTGACGATTGTTGTTTTTGTAGAACAATGTTTGTAGTTTTTGCTTATGACATAGTTACATGTGTACGCATATACATATGAATGTAGGTTTGTGTATGCATTATTTGTGTTGCAATATTATACGCACATATGAATGTACGTATAGAATATATTACTGATAAGTAATAATATCTTGACTTGAATTTGAAGTCTACTTTCATACATACATATGTATGTACCTGATAGATGTGAATGTAAGATTCAAATGATGAAAGGCGTGACTTACATATTTTACTATTTTAATATATTAAGATTTTTAGGATATTATGATAGTACGTTATATACTTGTACTTATGTATATAGAGGGGTGGCACACTTATTAGCACACCCTCCCATGTGCATTAAATAAAATTAAAAGAAAATTGAAGAAAAAATAAAAATACCGAGAAGGTAATCAGTAATATTTATTAAATAATGTTGATTGGAAACAAATTAGTAATTAAAAAACACATAATAGAACCATAAAAAAATCGTATTATTATTAAGCAGTTCGGTCAAGAGATCAACACATCTAAAAACAAGTAAAAAAATTTATAAAATTTTTAAAGTAATTTGAAAAAAAGAAACGTATGAGTTTATATTTACTCAATATTTAGTTGGGGATCCATTTTGGGAAATTTCGGATGTACATCTTCCTGGCATAGATAACACCAAATCCATAAATAGTGCACTGTCTTCGGTTTCAGTGCCATGAGTCGCCTTTTTATTATTGCTCACAGATTTTCTGGACTCTGCGCAGTCCAATTCAGCAATGGAACTGCCTGGTTTTGAAGCCACTGAATCACAGACCTTGACTTATGGCAGGGCGCATTGTCCTGTTGGACTTTATTCCGCAAATGGTACGAGATAATTTTCAAGCAACTTCTGGTATGCTACAGAATCTAGCGAGCGCGTTATCTGAACAATAGGATCAACACGATGCTTCGTAAAGCCACCCCACACCATAACACTTCCCCCACCGAACCAGTTTTACTTCGCGCCTAATTCTTTCTTTGGGGGCATCGCACATAACTTCTTCCATCAGACCCATGTTAGTTGAATTTAGATTTGTCGCTCCAAACTACAGAATTCCAGAAGGAAAGAGGAGAATCCTTATGCGGTCTGACAAATTTCAATTTCGATTATTGTGTGTAACTTTTAGATTTTCTAAACTTTGGCATCCCCGAAGTTTGTTTTCCAAAAGCCGCTGTCTAACAGTCCTGCTGGCAATGTTTACGCCATATTCATCCTGCGTTGTAGCTCGTATTTGCGAGGAAGTTGAAAAACCTGCCTGCCGAACAATGAGTGAATCTTCTCTTTTTATGGTCTTTTTGCGTTTAGATCTCTTTTTATTTACAAATGTTTTATTTTATGATAATATCTGAAAGCATTTTCAATCTTCTTCTGCGAACTTCTAATGCAACGAGTAATTTCACTTTTTTTTTTCCTCCTGCGACATATTCCATCTTAAGCGCCTATCCTCTTCACTGGAGCTCTTGGAACATCCCATTTTCAATATTTCACACTGATGTCTATTAAAAAATTTATTTACAACTAATCTTAGACAAAAATTACAACATTAAACGCAAACGACGCAAAATTACGAAAAAGTTTTCTGATGGCACGGTGTGCTAATTAAAATGCCAGTCTGAGTCAAAAGCCTTTATGAAATAAAGGTATACTTCTTTGATAGCGACCCCAAAGTTTTCAGTACTGCGTGATTTATAGCGGCAAAATAACAACTTATTAATATACAAAAAAAGAATTTCCTAAAATACCGTTGTCTGCAGTTTTTAAGCAGTACTATTGGAATATGTAAGGGTGTGCTAATTGGTGTGCCACCGGTGTATTGTAGACATATCTACTTATATGAAAGCATATTATATTATCTAACATAAGCAATTTTAATTAAAATGTAATCAATTATGCATTATATTCTAGATATTCAAAAAATTTCATTTCATATAAATAAATATGATTGCATATAAATATGATTGCGTATAAAAATATAAACCAATAGGCTAACAGCTCAAACAGTCACCGCAATTCCTCCCTTCCGTACGTCAGCTGATACGACCTATCTTATGAAAGCGCAATGTAAACGAACACTCACCACCGCTTCTACCGTCCGCTCCAAAAGACCGTACTGTAGGATATCCGCGAAAATTTGATTCCGTAGAAATGAGTGAGCTGAGAGTTAGAGAGCAATCTCTTGCAATGCAGGGTTGTCAATCTCGATATTTTGTAGTAATTAAAAAATAAACTTGATTACAAGTATATTTGAAATATTCTTAAAATAACTCAAAATCACAATCGAATACATTTATTAATAAATAGATAGAGACTATTATATTTAGATATATTTGGACTTGAGCTTCGAGCTTTTACATTATGAAATATTATAACAAAATAACTAAATGTGTGAAAAATCGTGTATACAAATAGAACAATGGCAATATTGGGGAAATGAAAACAAAAGAGAACAACTGATTTCTGCGTTGCAACTACGGGCATAACTTTTGACAGATTTGGTTTAATACGGGCGGTAAGTACGGAAGAGAGGAATGTCGGTGACTGTTTGGGCTATAACATGCGGCTGCAATATCAATGCAAACTTCTGATGAATGCGATACATTAAACATTGACACTCCACATTTTCATATTAGCGCAATAAATTCCACTGCACATACAGTAAGCTTGATATCAGCTTGAGTAAATGTAAAAAATCAAATTGTAAAATATTGCCATCACAGCGATCTACATATACAAGGTTGTTGTAGCATCTGACAGCTGTCGGAATCAGAATTGAAACCGATAAAAAAATGTAGTAGGTGTCATGAATTCAGATATTATTGGTTTAACGTTCGAAACAGAAATTGTATCGGTTTTGGGTGTCATGGAAATCAATTTTTTCGGTTTTATTATTAAAAACAAAGCAAGAGGATAGTCGCTGACAGATTTGAAATGTAAGTTAAGAAAATAGTAATTATATAATTGTTACGATTTAATTTATCATTATTTCTATAGGTAAAAACATAAAAATAAAACAAAAAATGCCAGAGGATTTACAAAACGTAATTTAACACCCAAAATCGTCTTTATTCCGTCGATAATGTGATATAAATCTGTAAAATAAGAATGTATACAAACATACAAGTAAATGCAAACTAAATATCCCATGCGATTTCCTTGGTGCATCAAGTGGATTACTGTGATCTCTTAATTTCTTCCTTTTAATTTTTTCGTTGCTTTTTTTCTATAAAATAAAAGCTAAAATAGCGCAACTCATTATAAACTTTAGTAGATTTATTCAATATTTTAAATTTATCAAACGCTTCCACATTTATTCATTTGCAAGTTTTGTCCCAATAGTAAACAGCTGATTCGAATTTTGGTTTTGCGTATGTTCGAAAAGACGAAAATATAATCAGATTCTGTGAATTGAAAATCTGATAACTACGCAATTGGATTTTACAACAACCCTGATATACACATGTACATATCTCCTAACCAAAGAAAACTTGTATCATGTATTTCAAACAGAGTTATGTATCCGCTCATGGCGGTGCTGCTCACCTTGGCATGATGATCACATACCATTGATTCTCGGTGGGGACTTTAATGTAAATTACTTTACTTTCTTCGTGAAAAAATTTGGTATACTTGAATATGAGTAAGAACCGCAAAATTGCCATGACTAAATGAGGAACAACGATTGATGCTCTATTACGTAAAATCTACACTATTTTGAATCAGATTTCCTACTTCAGTTACCATAAAGCCATAGTATCCGCTATATCTATACGTGCTCCGAAGGAAGATAATGTACAAATTGAAGAAATAAATTAAATATTAAATTTGTATCATTTTATTATTTCGATTATCCCTCTCTCTTTTTCTCTTTATTTTACCCTCACTCTCAATGAATCGGTAAAGAAGTATTCACTTCTATCACGTGTACTGTGCTGCACTCATTGTTTTTTTTTATAAAACTAGTTTATTAAATGACATTTCAATTAAATTTTCATTATTATTTACATTTTGTTGTCATATGTTGATTTTAATTAGGATAAAAATAAAAAATGTAATTTCTCTAAACATTATACATTATGTAAAATAGGTCTGCCAGCCTATCATATCCGACGGCACCACTTGCGACGATGCTATTAATGTGGGAAGGTATATTGAGGATTTCACCTGTAGAGGTGATGATTCTTCAAAGCGCATGCTGAAAGAAGTACGTCTCTCTTTCCCCAGTGGGCATTCAAGCTTTACATTCTACACAATGGTTTATACCGCGGTAATTACAAAATTTTATTACATTTTATCATATCTGAGAAATGAATAAAAAATGTCTTTTTACAGTTATACTTACAATCGCGCATGAATTGGCATGGATCGAAGCTGTTGCGACACTTTCTGCAATTCCTTTTTATTATGATCGCGTGGTATACGGCCTTGAGTAGGGTATCCGATTACAAACACCATTGGTCTGATGTGCTGACTGGTTCCACAATAGGGGCCGTCACTGCCGTCATTGTGGTAAGTTTTTCTTAGTCTCATTTCTCCTTAAAAAAACAACGAATTGTGAAACAAATATGTAAAATATGTATACTTCTTAAAATTTGCACTTCTTTTATTTCTAAAGAGGAAAATGTTCAATGCATTAATTTCAGTTTGCACAAGTTTATCTTAATATCATTTACTAGATATTTATATGTGTTTAGAAAATGTAAATTTATGTGCTTAAACATTTGTTTGTATGTACTTATAAAAACCCAGCATATTCATTGACGCCATATCTCCTTAACTCTTCTAGCGTTACTTTGCTCCGAAGGATTGGTTCAATTGGAATACATTGACGCCCATTAAGTACTTAAAAAAAAACTGATAAAAACTGTGTATAGATACATACATAAAATATACGAAAATATGTATATTCGCAAACATACTGTAACCAACATTTATACATTTTGTCAACATGATATGGGATAATTGTGACGAGAAAACGAAAAGCTAAAACTTTTAAGTCGAAGCTGAAAAGTTGAGACATAAAATAAAATACACGAGAACTATAAAGTTCAATTAAATTTCGAGTCGTTTTATTTTACTTGCCTCCACTGTATTTCCTACGAGTCATTTCTTATTGAAATCCGAAATTTTAAATTGTCTAGCTTAACAATAATTTGAAACTGAGTTCCACCCTTTATTAACAATAGGATAAAAAATTGATAATATTTAATAATTTTTATATTGTGTTTTGCTTTTAATTCAAACAAAGTCAAAAGTACTTCTTTAACTAAAACATTTAAAAAATATCTTAATATAAAAAAATTTAGTATCGGTGTGTATGTTTCGAATGAACTCAAAAACGAGTCAACTGATTTTCATTAATGTTGGCATACAAGGTACAATTCAAAAGTTCCAGGACTTTTTAAACAACGCGGCTTCTAGTGGCTTCAGTGTTGTCATATAAAATTTATATAACAGATGACTTGTATAACAGCTGAGATATCGCGCTACATGTGACATTATATTTGTAGTGTCGGTCGGAAAATAAGCATCGAACAAAAAGCCAACATTAAGTTTTGTTTTAAACTTGATAAAACTCTTACAAAAACTCATCAAATGATGAAACAAGTTTATGGCGATGATTGTCTATCCCGTATTCGCGAGTGGTTTAAACGTTTTCAAAGTGGTCGTAAGGACATAAATGAGAAAATGAGAGTCGAAACCCAAAAAATCGCTCCTGGAGAAGTCAAAAGTGAAGACAATGCTGATTTGTTTTTATGATTCCAAGGGTATTGTCCACAAAGAATTTGTTCCACCCGACCAAAACGTTAATGCGGTATTCTACCTTGGAGTTTTGAAGCGTTTGGTAACACGTATTCGTCGCATTCGGCCCGAATATCGCGAAGATGGAAGTTGGCGTTTGTTGCATGATAATGCGCCGTCTCATCGATCGACGCATGTGGCCGATTATTTGACCAAAAATCAAATTTTAACAATCAACCACTCCCCGTATTCACCTGATATGGCACCGTGCGACTTCTACCCTTTCGGAAAACTACATTTGGACATGAAAGGAAACCGCTATGCTGACGTTGATGCCATCCAAAAGGCGACGACCGCCATCCTCAACGCTATACCGACAAATGACCTAAAAAAGTCATTCGATAACCTTCTTGAACGTGCAAAACGTTGTATTCAGGCGGAAGGAGACTATTTTGAAGGCGACCAATAAATTTTTCAAAAAAACAAATAATATTCGTTTTTTAATAAAAGTCCTGAAACTTTTGAATTGCACCTTGTATATATGTAATTTGGTCCAACTTAAAGGATAGGATAGTTATTATTTAAATTAATGGTCTCAATAATTAAAAATAAACTGATCACCAACGTTGATTGTTGTTATATATGTATAAAAGAGAATGTTTGTACGTATGTTCCTTATAAACTCCGAAACCAACTTAAATGATAGGATAGTTATTATTTAAATTAATGGTCTCAATAATTAAAAATAAACTTATCACCAACGTTGATTGTTGTTATATATATAAACTTATAAACTCCGAAACGGCTGGACCGATTTCAATGACATTTTTAGGGAGAGCTTCAGGTTGGACAGCGAGTGATCCTGTAAGGTTTGGTGGCGATCGGAAATTAAAAAAGCTTTATTTTTTAATGTCAATGACATTTTCTTTTACAGCTGATATGTTATTGTTTTTATTACACAATTCTGTTGATATGTGCGTCGTGTATATTTATGTTATTTAATTGCACATATTGGAGTATAATAAAGTATAATGAATGATATGGAAGTATAAACAATATGACCATTTAATTTATCTCAAATTATCGCGAAGAGTGAGCAATTACTAACAGATGAACAAAATACTATTCAAAATCGGATTAGGCTAATTGCCAGATAATTGCAGCACTTTGTGGCTGGCTGTGTAATCGGGCTATCTTGACAGCAAAAAATTCCGAGATTAATTTCTATAATAATATTTTTACTATATTAAACAGCTTACTCAAAAATAATTTAATTATACCTTAGCCACGGCAAGGCGTGGCCTGGGTCTTCCATATACATATAAAGTTTTACATAATAAGTACTAGTCCATGATTCAATTAGATTTTTATGTATACTTTTAGTTAGGATTTAAGAAAAACAATTTACCTCTTTTAGTACAATACAAAATTCTAATGGATAGAGATGGATCGATATCAAATAAATATTGAAATAGCATGCATGACTGGTTTTTCTTTTATTTGTAATGCTGGCATTCTCTTGACCTTTGCGGTGAAGCTGGTTGCGTTTATAAACTGTTTTCTGCTTAAAGTACAGTAGAGTAATACGCTGGCCTGCACACCGCCAACAATTCAAGTGTTTAATGTAAGCCAATTCAATTATTTACCTAATCTCCTGAGTTCAATTTTATTCAACAACAGAAGTCGACGATCATAGTTGACCTAAAGATGATCGTAAATAGTGCATTAACGTAACAGCACACCATTTTTATACTCTTCCAGCATGTTGCGAAAGAGTATAATAGTTTTGTTGTTTGTATCACCTAAAACTAATCGAGATAGATATAGGGTTATATATAAATGATCAGGATGACGTGACGAGTTGAATTCCGAGTGAATGTCTGAATGTCCGTTCGTGCAACCGATAGTTTGATTTGATATTTTGATGAAACTTGGTACACATGTACCTCGGCGTTGCAGATGGCTGAATTGGACCATTGCCACGACCACAAAACTCTATTAATCGAAAACCTATAAAGGGCTCCAAAATAAGATACAGGCTGTTATTAAGTACAATGAATTGTATTGAAGAGGGGCATATAGATCTCTAATAAATTTAATGTACATATTTCCTAACCCTTTCAAAGTACCATATAATAACAAAATTCGCTCAGGGTAAATCTGTTTTGCATCCCTACTGTGAAAATGAGTGAATTCGCCCACTACCCATATAACGGTTTAGTTAAAAACTACTAAATTTATCGCACATATAAATAAATCTGTTAGAGGCATAAAATTTTACACCAGTGATGGTAATAGAGGCGTTTATAGGAGCCGGGGTCAAAATGAGGTTATGGGCGTGGCACTGCTGCCAACATTTAGGTGAAATCACGTATCTCGGGACCTACTAAACCGATTTCAACCAAAATGAGTATGTAATGTTATCCTGGCATTACTTCATTACAGTGTGAAAATAGGTGAAATCACACAAAAACCACGTCTACTTCTCTTATGACACAATTTTAAATTTAATCAGACTCTTTAACTTTTCAGTAATCAGTAAATCAAGAACCAATCAATGTATTCGGATAAAACTTTGAGGTGTGTCAACTTAAGACCAAAACTATTCAAGCCCCCATATACCGAATATGTGTACCCAGTTCCGATTGTGAATTTTTATCGAAAATATCGGTAAATCTGTGAGATATATTACAGAATTTCGGAGAGAATTCTTTTCGAATAATAGTATGCCATATACCTAATAGAAATATTTTGGAACTTCTGGCTGACTTTATATCGCAGTTATCGGTAAGTTGAGATATCTCAATAAAATTGAGAAAGCGTGTTTTTCTAATTACGGTTCATCTTTGTTCCTAAAATGGATAAAATCGAGTAAAAATTTACCCAGACCCATATAAGTAATATCAGGTTTTTTAAACATCTAGTTGATTTTACTCTTTATATATTGTTAATGGTATGTGTGGTACCTTAAAGAAGCTCTGAAGGCATCTTTTTCTGTTATTAATATATAGTAATGCCGAAAATAGATAAAATCAATATACTCTATATAGTTATTTCCGACTTCCCACCTGTCTTAAACCGTTTAGGTTGGTCAAAATGTGTGATATATTAGGTAAAATAAGTGGACAAAATTTAGCCGCTTCGATTGAGTTAAAATTAGATATGTCTTATTTGAGAATGATTTTACTATGATTTTCGCTGACGGGAATGAAATATATTATTAAAACTACTTTAGTCTATGACCTATAAAATATGTAAGTTAAAAAGATATAAATCCATCCACGATTTCGTCGAACAATCAATACATAAATTATTTTGCAATAAGTGCAAGGTATTTTCCCGGCTTTGATCCTGGCAAGTAGTAAGAGTATAAAATGTTCGGTTCCACCCGAACTTAGCCCTTCCTTAATTGTCAATTTTGATTTTAATATATAAGTTACTAGTCAACAGTTGCATCAACAGTTTCCAAAATAAAAAGAAATGTAACAAACCCAATTTCATGTATAATTAATTTTAATTTTTCTCTTCTTTGCAGGCGAAATACGTGTCTGATTTGTTTCAGCGAAGATCCTCTCAACAATATCTGCTACCTCATACTTGTACATCGCAGGACGCACAACCACAGACGGTAGCTAATAACGGGCTTTAATTTTGAATAAAACAGTATTTCGCCTTTTACCCACAAACGTGTTTTAAACAATATTATTAAATTATGTGTGTATGTGATGCAAGTGATGTAAGCGCCAAGTCTTAGTACTATTTATGTTATCTAATACGTTATAATAAGGAACAGCAATAAATTTAAGTGTACCATATACATATGTGAACATAAGTATGCTAAATACATATGTAATAATGTGAAGTAGTACATTTAAGAACTTGCGATTATAAGTAGGAGGTATACGTGCTAAAATACATATATATTATGTAACGATGCTTCAATAATGTATATGTACTATACCTACATATGAACAACTACTAAAATTACCAATAATGCTGCACGAATCCCGAATTCTCGAAGAACTCTGGGTTTTTCTCGAGTGAAGAATTAGTTAATGTGTGTCTTAAAATAATTTTACAATAGCGATCAGGTGTTGAAGTACAAAAGTAACTTTGTTAGAATTTCGAAATTTTATTTAACAATTAGAAATAAAAAAATATAAGTATTAATATAGTACTAAAAATTTGAATGTTATTCTTTAAAATATTATGAACATTAAGTAGAATGTTTTAGTGTGGGGCTCCACTCAGATCCGAACTATTTTTAGATATGTGCTGAGGAAGGCTGTACTACGAAGCAGTAAAATTACAACTAGGAAAAAACTGGTGTCAGCAAAGGTTGCCGTAATTTCAAAATAGGAGGCACATCCGTTCTTCGCACATGTTTGTCTCGTTTTGTAAAATAAAATACGAATTTTTCCTTATCTAAAAAAATATCTCATAAATTCACAACAAACATTAACAAGCAATTGTCATTTCAAGTTTTACATACTTGTTGCTTGGAATTTTCAATTCAACTGGACCCAGATATAAACTATATAAAATAATAAATAAAATGTTTCCTTCTCCTTTTTTGATAGAAAAATAATTAAAAAAAAACAAGAAATACACGTTAACGTCTCCTGCAGCGAATCTATAACGGCATATATACAGACGGGCAGACATACGCATATATACAGACATCCTTCTGGGTGTTGTGTTTCTATAAGCTATATTTTAAGAGGCTAAGCAGCATTCTTTCTAGCATTTGTACCGGGCTTAACCAAAGTTGAGGAAGAGACCTTGTTTTAAGTTAATTATTCCACACTTGTTTTTCAAATGACGTCATTTGAAAAGCTTTGTTGTTTGTTTTTGTCTTCTTTACAAAAAGCATTGGTGCTAACTTCATCACGAAACCCCTAGTACTAGTAGTAGTTTTGACCTCACTGTGGTATCTATACGATTCAATGACTTTTTACTCTAAATACGTGACAAAATATATACATATATGGTATAATAAAATTATTTTTTATTAAAATTGAACATACTCTTTAGATAAATATGTACATGCGAGGGTGAGGGACCGGTAAGTACTCTGCCTACAAAAGAAAAACGAAAATTTTGGATGAGTGGTGATTTATTTCTCAATAGTCTCCTTTTATTGTAGATCTACACACTTAACGTAGCGATGCCACAACTTTTATGACCTGTCTGAAGAATAAGTTTTTTGGAGCTCTGAAAAGTAAGTAGGTCGACGAAAACTTTCTCATACAAGTAGATAGATATATTTATGTATGTATGCACATGTATATCTAAGGTATGGAAGAAGCCAAATTCAGAATTTAAAAAAATGTACACAACAAATCCGATGCTAGAGCCAAAGGACAAGGAATTATTATTATTATTATCGTCTTATTACGTACTTAAATTCACAAAATTGTTGAAATATTTTCTTCAAAACAAATAACGACGTCAACGAACGAAGCGACGATAACAATGACAACAACTTGGAAACGGCAATTAAAACGGCAATGGAAATAGGGCCGAATATTGATATGAATTTTTCATGGATGTCACTGTAGTCTTACATATTCATAAGAGCAGAGAATATTAATGAATAGAGAAGGCACAAATGTTAAATGCAATCTTTTTGAGTACTTATTTGTTATTCCAGATGAAGGAACATCGAAAAATATAACTTCGAAAACTCATTAACATTCTCTGCTCTGACACAGCAATATGGCCAGTAAATTCCTATGGGCACATACTCACGCATACAAACATGCAAATGGATATATACATACATACATGTTGAAAAAACTGTTGGGAGAGCGGATGATCTCACCAAATTCATTCGGCGATGGCAATGCCATTATTGACCATGGCTCAAACGCTGCGCCGCCTCATCAAATCAAACCGTAGTTTCGATTGACCAAATTGAGAGTTGGAGCAGGTTTCGTGTTTGCTTTGAGCACGGAAAAGATAGTTTCATTTGGGAAGTGGCGGTGTAAACGTCGCGAAGCGGACTGATCCGAATTCGAAAAAAAAACAAACGAAATTTGTGGTGTGTACATTGCTGTTATTATTGCAAATATTTCTACAAAGTAATTATTTCAATAACCGTTTGAGCAATCAATTTATTTACGGTGTGTTTATATTACTCTATTTGGTCGTTCGGTGACTGTGCCCACGAGTGGTAAATGTGCAAAGACTCTCCAACCCATTGATAATCTCCACATTAACACAACTGAGAGTTCATGCACGAATACATGGACGAAATGCACTTGTGCAGCAAAGAGAGAAAGAAAACAAATGTCGTAGATAATAATTAACGAAACTAGGCAAAAAATCATAAGCCGAAATGAACAGAAAACTCGACAAATCAGTACAACACAATATGCAACACAAACAAACCCTTACATGTACTTATGTACATAAGAAAGTACACCCGCCAGTAATAAATTACGTCGGCCCAATTACTGACTAGTACAAAATGAATGGTATCAGGGTATCAGACTTTAAGTCCTGGCTTGATCACGGTTTCTAGGATTTGTATGTTCTGGGTTAAAATAGGTATCTTCGGGTAGGCTCTCCATAGTTGCCGCAGACTGTTGCTTTTGAGATATTTGCATTTAAAGTTTATTATGATTTTACACTTATATTTATTTATAATGATTTTACACTTATATTTAAATAACATACCAGTGTTACCTTATCTACATATTTTGCAAAAGAAATAAAGAAAACAGATAACACTCCAATGTGTTTGCGGCCTTTGGCTGCTATTCAAAAATAATAACCCTAGTCGTTCCAACGCCGGGATTTATCAAGAGAAATGAGATTCTGAAACATTTTACGTTACTCATCACACGATTATGAATTTTGTATTGACGGTATAATCTTTCTTTTTTATTTATTTTTATTCGTTTGCAAAATATGAAAATATTTTCTTTCCTTTTCTATTGAATGAATAAATGGATAACAAAACAAAAAGTTAAATATTGAATCAAAGTTACTCTTGTATTATCTAATATAAAATAAATGTGTAGAAACGAATTAGTGAAGTGTTAATGGATATAAAAGTAAAAAATATTTGTGTAAAATTCATTAATAATTAAAAAAATTAAAAGGAAAGAAACACTTTAAATAGTTTAATTTTTAAACTTTAAATGCAAATATCTCAAAAACCATAAGTCAACGCCAACTATATATATATACATATTTTCATAATTTGTAGAACTTCCTCTATTCGTACATACCCATTTTAATCCCGAATTCAGGGGATGCTACTCTAAATCCCAGCCATATTCGGAGACTCAAGGAATATTCTTGTGTATAAACATCTACCGCATATTCACTTTAACTAGTTGTCATGAGTACAAGTCTGGGACAGTACAATCTGCTTGGTGCATAAAAATAGAAGAAAATACTCATACAAACCGTACATAGATGTTGCACTGGTTTTATATTATTGTCATATTATTCATATATATTCTCGCTTATTATTTGTGAAGAAACTCAAATTTCAACAAAAAAAACTTATATATTATAATTATACAACTGATAAGCCGCATAGAGTTGCAATTATAATTGAGGAACTTGCTTCACAAAAGCTGTCCTATATAATGCTATTTACCTGTCAAGAGATCTACATTTGCGGAAGGGTAATGGTGAATAAAATGAAGACAGAAAAACAAAAAAATTTACAATTCATGAAAATTTGTACGCTAACATATGAATACATTAATTTATATTTATGCTGTACACAAGAACACAGATGTTGGACTCAAGACCCAAGTTAATACCGGACCTGTCCAAATTAAAGATATCGCTTAACGCGTTTTGATAAAACAAAATTTTCTGAGGAATGCTGCTGAGTGTTGATTTTTCGAAACAGTTATTCTTTTAGTACTATTTATTGCTCAAGTCCATTTCAAATACATCTTTGAAAAATCTGTCACAATCCTGAAGTAAATTCAAATAGTTACAAACTACTTCAAAAATAGTATGACTCGGAAGCCCATTTTAAATAGCTGACTGTCTCTTTCCCATATAAACAACGAGTATTTTTATCTGTGTTAAAGTCGTGACAGACAATCAGTCTCACACCAATGTTTAAGTCGATTAACGAGCGAAACTAGCGAACTCCAAATAAAGGAAATCGTTCTTTAGTTGTTACAGACATTTTTTCTGTTTAGTTAGATTTTAAACTGGAATTTATAGTTATAAAGTAGTGAATTTCCTCCCTAATTATCGGATTTGAATGGGAAAAAACCTCGTAACCAATATTGGAAATGCATTTCGAAAATAATCCTCATTTTCCAGATCACATATTGCTATTGGCAATTTTTTAACTTTACCTACATCCATATGTATATGTATATGCTCATATGAGTTTAGAAATGTGTGAATATCCAACAATTTCGAATTTTCGAACATAACATATACGAGTACTAGACCCAAAGCAAAAGCAAACATTTTCCCAAAACCGGGGCATGCCATTAATTTATAATTACAACCAAACTCTGCAGAGGTTATTGTAATTTCTCTTGATTAGCGGAGTCATCACATCAGCTTACTGCTGCCCGTTTTTAGAGGCATGAAAGCGCATACATACAAAACGCACACTTAAAAATTCAAGTCGTTTTTCAACACATTTACGTAGCAAAAGTGGAAAGCGTAGCATATTCACAACTCCGTGTACACATACCCATATCTTTCCATATGTACATATTTATATGTATGGTATATGCGCATGCGTTTGCTATTGTTCTGTGAAGTGAGTACGAGTGTGCGCAAGACGATTTAGTTTGCGAATAAATATCGTACACCCAAGCGTACACACACACACGTACAAATGTGTTAAAATAATATGTTATAAAATAAATAAACTTGAGATAAAACAAGTAAGGAAGGGCTCAGTTCGGTTGTAACCGAACATTTTATACTCTCGTAAAGTCAAAAGATATACTCGTTTGAGATTTCTTTATATATTTTGCTTGATTTGTTTAGTGGAAAGTGAAAGAATCAGATGGAATTTAAAATGGTGTTATATGAGAAATAGGCGTGGTTGTAATCCGATTTCGCCCATTTTCGCACTATTACATTAAAATTTGTTATGTACCGAATTTGGTTGAAATCGGTTAAGCAGATCCCAAGATATGGGGTTTCGCCTAAAAGTGGGCGGTGCCACGCCCACTGTCTAATTTTGAACGCGGTTTCTATAAAGTCATTTCATACCATCCCTGAGATAATATTTAATGTCTGACGTATTTAATGCTTGATTTATCGCGCATTTTGTAGTTTTTAGCAGTACCGTTATATGGGGAGTGGGCGGGGTTGTCACCCATTTTCACATTATCGATAGAGGTGCTAAAAACATTTGTTTTTAGTGTTATTATAGCTTTAGCGGCTTAGGAGATATGCACATTAAACCTATTAGTGGGCAGGACCACTCCCAATTAAAAAAAAAAATTATTTTATTTTGGAGATCAGTCTATTTATCTATTTGTTTTTGATTAATGGCGTTTTGTGGGCGTGGCAGTGGTCCGATTGCACCCATCTGCAATACGAACCGTTTTACGGTACTAAGAAACATGTGTACCAAGAAACATGTATCTCAATTTTTACTCAAGTTACAGCTTGCACAGACATACGGACGGACGGACATACAGTCACCAGGATTTCAACTCGTCTCTTCATCCTGGTCATTTATATATACATAATCCTATATCTAACTAGATTAGTTTTAGGTGATACAAAGAACCGTTAGGTGAACAAAACTATTATACTCTGTAGCAAAATGTTACGAGAGTAAAATAAACGCGAAAATACATACGTACACTGAGATTTTAAAGTTGCTCCTCCTGTGTCAATTATCAATGCCTTGCCACTGTCTACTGTGCTTACATAAAGTCAGCCATACATACATAGGTACATACATATGTATGTTCACAAGCGAAAAGAAAATTTAAGAAAACTGAACGGTTAAGGTTGAATTCAGGATTGTCGCGGCTGTTGCTCCCACAGCTGAGGCAAGAGGTAATGCCTTGTGCGGTTGGGATGCCACTTCTCAGAGCTTCAAGAACACAGTATTCTCATAACCGTATTGACTCCAGAATTCATTCACTTCCATATGCACGTAGACATGAGTGTGTACGTGCACTGTTACAGATAAATGAGCACACAAAAGTGAAAGATCGCCCGGAATGTTGTTGCACTTGTTGCTGTTATTATATTATTATTATAGCTATTTCGGATTGCCTCGGTTGATTTTGCAGTGGTTGTTGCACCTGGAGTTGTTGATATGATTATTATTAAAAATAAATGTGAAATTCGTCATTGTCTTTAACATCGGCTTGCTCTATACGGGTTTTCACAAATCAGTCAGTCTCATAGATAATTTTAAATGAAAGTAAGTAAATGACCAATAGCTAACAGTTTGATGTAATATTTGTGAGAAGTTTTTGGAATTTGTGTGAGTGATACTCCTAAAAATTTTAAGTCATGTTGGACAAACTCTTTAAGCAATATCAATGAAAAGTTATAATGCCCTTCACAAATACAAAGGCTTCTTACAAGAACTTGATTCCGATCGTTCAATTTGAGCTATATGATATCTGATATGATTGTTGCCTTAAACAATAACCCGTGCCTAATTTCGTGAAGATAACTCGTCAAAGGAAAAAGTTTTCCATGCAAGCACTTTACTCCGATCGTTCAGTTAATATGGCAGCTATATGCTATAGTTATCTGATCTATCCAATTTCTTCAGAGATTGGCTTATTGCCCTAAATAATAATAGATGCCAAATTTCGTGAAGATACCTGGTCAAATGAAAGAGTTTTTCATACAAGCACTTGATTCCGATCGTTCAGTTTGTATGGCAGGTATATGCTTAGTGGTCTGATATCGGCTGTTCCGACAAATGTGCAGCGTCTTAGTGAGAAAAGGACAGATGCAAAATTTCAGATCGATAGCTTAAAAACTGAGTGACTAGTTTGTATATATACAGACAGACGGACGGACAGAGAGACGGACATGGCTAAATCAACTAAGCTCATTTTGCTGATCATTTATGTATATATTTTATAGGGTCTCCGAC